GATTAAAGTTGTGACAGGATACTTCTGGGCATGCTCAGCTTGTGTCACAAATTTTATGCTGAAAATGAACGTTCTTTGAAGGGACATCGACACAGGAGTCTGCTCTAAAGGTATCTGCCTCAGTGGCTAACATAGCAACTGAAATTTTGGGTGATTCTGAGGAAGTAGCAAGATTTCTTTCTTTTCTTGAGACAAGGTCTCACTATGTGGTCCTGGCTGGCCTGGAATTTGCTATGTAAACTAGCCTGGCTTTGAATTCACAGAAATCCTCCATGCCTCTGTCTCCCAAGTGCTGAGATTAAAGGTTATGCCACCAACCTAGCCATATCTGTTTCTTTGTCTAAGGGATGATAACATGGGCTTGTTCACTTGCTAAGGGTCTATAGGACTATATCCTTATGTTAACTCCATCTTCCTCTATGAGTTTTTAAATTACAATTACACTATTTTTTTTAAACCAGAAAGGATCACCATTGCAACATGGTAGGCTAAAAAAGACAGTGGGTATGATGGCTCGTATCTCTAATCCAAGAATCCAGGAGGCTGAGGCATGACAATTGCTTTAAATTCAAGGTTGACAGGGACTACAATGTCAGACTATTCTAATACCCACCCACCCCTTCAAATTCAGCACAGAACCAGACAGAGGAGTAGAAAAGTCCAGAGAATAAAAACCTCCAAAGTTTGGATTTATATCATTATAACACCTTAGCCTCTGAGTAAGTCTTATTTGAATATCTTGTGAATTGTGCTTTGGTGAGTTTAAGAAGGCTGAATTTGGCCTGATTTGGGGCCAGCCAGTTGGTTTAATGGGTAAGGGTACTTGGGACCCACAAAGTGGACAGAGAGAACTGACATGTCTCCTGACCTCTGCAGTTATGTACTGGGACTCCCACAAAATAAGCAAATAAATGTGAAGACAAAGAAGGGGAAGGCTGCGTCAAAGAAAGCCCAATTTATCAACATCAGTGCCTGAATCTTATTTTATGTGCATGAGTGTTTTGCCTGCACGTGCATATATGCATACATGTGCAGTGCCTGCGGGGGTTGGAAGAAGCCATTGTATCCCCAGACACTGGAATTGTGGATGGTTGTGAGCCACCATGCGGGTGCTGGGAATCAGACCTAGGTTCTCTACAAGAGCAGTGGGCGCTCTTCATGGAACCTCCTCTCCAGCCCTCTCCTTGCCAATCTCAATACTGCATTTCCCAGCTTCCTCTACACTTAGCACAGCCATGTAGTGAGTTCTAGCCAACAGAACTAGTGAAAGTGATATGTAGCACTCAGAGACTTATTTTGGAAACCCCCTTCCTTGTATCTGTTAAGGTTTTTTGTTTGTTTGTTTAATTTTCTCTTTGGCCAGGCATAATGGCCAGCGCCTTTAGTTCTGGCTCTCAGGACACAGGGACTGACACATAGATCTCTGTGAGTTTGAGACCAGTCTGGTTTTCATAGCAAGTTCCAGGCCAGTCAGGGCTGTAGAGGAAGAAGACCCTGTCTCAAACAAATTCTCTACCTGGACTAAGTAGAGACAAACCCTACAGTGATCCACACATTGAAGCAGAGTCCCATCAGCTTAGCATGTTCCTTGAGAACTCTACACACTGAAGCAGACAGAGTTCCATCAGCTTAGCATGTTCCTTGAGAACTCTACACATTGAAGCAGACAGAGTCCCATCAGCTTAGCATGTTCCTGAGAACGCTACACAATATCGTTCTTCCTTTTCCAGGCCTAGTCTAGCACTTCATTGCACTGGCACATAATATATGCCAAGGACTTCAATTTTGAAATTTATCTCCTACAGAAACTGACATTTTCCTAAATAACACAGTAAAGATGGCAGAGATGTATTACAGAACCTGCACTTTCAATGCTTGTTACAATAGCAGGACAATAGTCTATGGCCCAATAATTAGCTCTCATAGGTTATAGCTAATATTGTTTGTTTGTGACAGAATCTCACGGAGCCCAGACTGGACTCAAACTCACTATGTAGCCAAAGATAACCCTCAACTCCTGATCCTTCTTCTTCTACCTCTAAGATTACAGGCATGCACTGCCATGCCTGGTTCATAACTACTATCATATTAACATGATTTATAATTAGAAAAACAGCTTTGCTGTGGGCTGAAGTACCTATCCTCAAACTCACACGCTGAAGTCCATGTAATCCTCATCCCCAAGCCCCACACCTCATGGCCGGACTTCTTTTGGCAATGGAGCCTTTGCAGAGCCAAGGAGTTAAAATGAGGTCATGCTGAAGTAGGGTGGATCCACTTCCGCACACGTCCTTGTAAAATGGGGACATTGGAACACAGACACGCAAACAGGAAAACGCCACCTGAAGGCTGGAATGTTGCTGCCTCAAGCCAAAGAAACCCGGGACAGATCTGTCCTTAAGGCTTGCAGAGGGACCGTGGCACCATCAATACCTTGATCTCTAGCACCTGCCTTTCAGAACTGCAAGACAACAATGTCCTGCTACCTAAACCACCTACTTTGTGCCGGTTTGTTTCATCAGCTCAGAAGAATTAAACAGCCTCCCATCCTGTTCTCCTTTGCCTCATGTTCCCATCAGTGCTTCATTGCAGACCAAGGGATCCAAAACGTCTATCTGGTCCTGCCCGTTCCCAAATTAAAGATCACTCAGTTTCCCTGCCCACTGCTTATAGACTACCTCTCATCTTCGGAGACAGTTTTACAAGGATTTTGCTGAGCTCAATTCCTACTTTTCGCTCAGCAATGCTGAACTTCTGGGCTCCGCCTAAACACGCAAGACTATTTCAAGCTCTTGACCTTTGTCCATTTCCCAACAATCATCTCACTCATGCTCCTACCTATTTTTCTCATCCTCTGAGATTCAGTGCAAACATTCTTCCTACAAGGAAACATTCCCTGGTTCTCGCCCACCCGTATCCTGCCCCACCAGCGACAGCTTCCTGGAGGGAGGCAGGTGACTTTTTTTTCCCCTGATTCCTGCTTTTTTGTTAAAACAATCTACGTATCTGTTTGCCACACTAAAATGTGCATTTCTGGGTTCCCTGTCATTGTGTATAAGTACACAAAAGCACATCTACAGTATTTAAAATAAGGTCAGTTCTCCATAGAGTTGATGGGGGCATTACAAGAGGTAGGCATCTATGGCTTTGAGTGAATTTGATGGATTATTACCCTAAACCAGGACGCTCATTACCTACAAACTTCTTTTCTCTTTCAAGCAGTGACCCTCAAAGAAGCCAGGGTGAGGGTTTGGGAGGCTCACCACCAAGATTTCCCCTCCTCCTCCCATCAAGAGCTCACATAATCCCTTGAAAAGAATGCTGGGACAGGCCCACGCCAACAAGTCATCCCATAAGAAGTGGCATGATGCCTTCCATCTAATGTACTGAATGCCGTGGGAGCTACAAAGTCAAGCAGCCTTTGGGGGAGGGGGCCAGGGGCCAGGCAGGAAGCACAGGGAATGAAGAGATACATTCAACACCGACTCCTTAATTCACTGAGATCTTCCCACGGTCATAGCGCTCTCTCCCCTCCTCCAGCCCCGAAGGTATTCAGACTCCTTTCTCCCTCTCCCTCTCCGTCAAAAGCCCCAACTTCTTTTCTCCAGACCTTTCTGGTCTCCTACCTGGCTGGATGAGAAGCAGGTAGACAAAAGGAGCGAGGTGCAGGGCCCTGGAGGCTCTGAACAGGGCTCCCCTTTCTCTCTTCATTTTGGGTGGCGTTCTCCAGCTCTGGTGCAGACAATTAGCATGATTTCTCCACTCCGGGCACGTCCCTTTGTACCACTCGGAGTTTCTCTGCCCGGGCACAACCCTGCCAACTTCCCTCTGAATACACAGAGCTCTGTGTGTTGCTGGCCTTGTTCTCTCCTCTCGCTTTGCTCAGATCTAGCATTTTCTAGTTTCCAAGCCCTTTGCCCCTCCTAGTTTGGACAGGGGTATCTCCATGGCATAATAATCTCCACTGCATGTTCCATCGTACTGGGCTCTGATGGTCCAGCGGTTCTTGGCTTGTTTGGAGAAAGCCCCACTCCCAAGGCAGATGCCGATCCGGGCTCTGTGTCCCAACCTACAATGGCTCCACCTCACACTCCTCCTTCGGCTTCAGGACAGACTTCTAATAAGGGAGAAAAGGTGGGGGTGGGTGGGGGAGCTTCTGGCTATCCTTGGAAATGAGAGACCTGAAAGAATTGCTGAAGACGTGGAAAGACCTGTTTTACCCCAAGGGAAGAAGATTGGGGAATGGGCTTGAATTCTGCTTCATTCACACGTGTTCTAGTTGGGATTCTCTCCCTCCTGTCACAGGTTCAGAGAGATGTTGGAAGCGTCTTCCCAGAAGTCACTCTGTCATTCCCCTACATTCAGCCAGTGTTCTAGAACCTGTCAGAGCAAAGATGAGGGTAATGTTCCACAATCCAGCACCCTGGGGTTCTGCTATCAGTACAATAGCCTAGTGTCCTCCTGTCTTTCAGGTCTGCACTCATTCCTCTCATGGCCCGTGCCTTCTCATGAAAGGCTTGCTTGCTCTGTGATAATGGGACAGACTCAGTGTCTGTGAGCCCTTGATTTCACCTCTGTAAAACCGCTAAAGTGATAGTCTTCTTGGAGGAACTGTTGGGGAGATTGGTGAAGATCGTGGTATAGAATGCTCAGCAAATGCTTTGTTGGGGAGAAATCTTTTAGGACTGGGTGTGGTGGAGTAGGCCTGCAATCTCAGCACTAAGGAGGCAGAGGCAGGAAGACTGTGAGTTCAAGAACAGCCTAAGGTTCATTGTGATACCCTGTTTCCAAAATCCAAAACAGGCATAGTGATGCATGCTTTTGATCCCAGCACTCGGAGAATTGGGCACTTGGAAGATTGCTGTGCGTCTGAGGCAAGTTTGGACTACATTATAAAAACAGAATGAAATAGAAACCCAAATCAACAAACAAAACGCCAAAAAGGACATTTTATTTTTATTTATTTATTTATTTATTTATTTATTTTAGTTATAGGTGAATGTATTTAATCTTAAAGTCAAAACTAGTCTGTGTTGATAGACTCCAACTTTGATGGCCACCCCACACAGTCTTGTTTTTTCCCTTTCTTTTAATGTTTAAACCGTTTAAATTTAGATATCATTCATACATTAGGAAATTCACCGTAAGTATTTTCAGCAGGCTCTGAGGCTGTCACAAATGTTTCGTTCCAGTTGGTTCTCCCCATATCTTAGTTGTCAGTCACTATAGTTCTCCAGCCCCACTAACTACCGATCTGCTCTCCCTGGATTTGCCTGTTATGGCTATGCTGTGCAGATGGCACCATACCCACCACACCTATGTCTAAGATTTTATGGAACTCCAAAACTGTTTTCCAAAGAGCCCAGGACATTTTTATTCTCACTAGCAATTCACAGTTGGCACTGCAAGGCCTTCCCTACACTTCTGTTTGTCTTTGTTTTTGAGACAGGGTCTTCGGTATCCAAGGTTGGCTTCCTACTTTCTACGTAGTTGAGGATGACCTTGGACTCGTGATCTTCCTGCTACCGAGGGCTGGAATTCCAGGCGTGTACCACGATGCCCTGTTTCATCAGCCCTCTTCCTTTAAAAGAAAGCAAATTAAATTTTTAAAAATTCCTTGACTATGTCATACATGTATATATTTTGTTTATTTGCCACCCCCCCCCCCCGCCATTACCTTCTCTTATTCCCTCTCAGTTCTGCTGGGAGCACCTTCCCAATAAGGCCTCTTGTTAACTTCATATCTTTTTCAGCCGGGGTCAAAGGATGGCCAGCAAGGAAGCAAAGTTTATTGAAGACAAAAGAAACAGTTCTCTGAAGCTGGGAGGAGACTGGGAGATAAGTCAGATAAGTTATGCTTTTGTTTATTTATTTTTTTGCTCTGTTTTGTTCTTATTTTTTGTGTTCCACTAAGTTTAATTAGGGATGTGTGCATGGATATGGGCCGAGGGATTCTTACTGGAGCATTGGTAACCTACCAGTGGTTACACCACTAAAGAAAATGACTCTCTTTCCCCTCAGCAACTATTAACTATCTAACTCTTTTTTTAAAGATTTATTTATTTATTTATTTATTTATTTATTATGTAAACAACATTCTGCCTCCATATATGCCCACATGCCAGAAGAGGGCGCCAGATCTCATTACGAATGGTTGTGAGCCACCATGTGGTTACTGGGAATTGAACTCAGGACCTCTGGAGGAGCAGCCAGTGCTCTTAACCACTGAGCCATCTCTCCAGCCCCTAACTATCTAACTCTTTAGGAAGAAGTGGTGCCCATGAGTCCTTCTCCCATAACCTTTTTACATTTTTTTTTAAAATTATATTTTGTTGCTGGGAAGTGGTGGCCCACACCTTTAGTTCCAGCACTCAGGAGGCAGAGGTAATCAGATCTCTAGGTTCGAGGCCAGCCTGGTCTACAGAGTGAGTTCCAGGGCAGGCAGGGCTATACAGAGAAACCCTGTTTCAAAATAGGAAACAAAACAAAAATTATAATTTGTTTATTGTGTGCGCGTGCGCGCACGTGTGCAAGACAGCTTGGGGGAGCTGATGCTCTCCTTCCACCATGTGGGTCCCAGGTACTGAATTCAGGTCATCAGGGTTGGCCACAGGCGCCTTTGTTCATGGCGCTGTCTCAACAGTACCCACAGTCTCCTTCCTTTCTAAAGCTGCCTTTTATTGTTTCCTTTTTCATTCCTGCAAGGATCATTTTATCATGCAAGGATAATTTTATTTCAGTAACACCAAAGTTCTCAACTTCCTTCTATTCTTATTTGTTCCAGATAAAGTCTCACTGTGGCCCCGAATTCCTGATTCTTCTCCCTCCATTCCCAAGTGCTAGGGTTTCAGGCACGTACTGCCACACCTGGCTTCATGAGTCCCCATCAGTTACTTCTATCCCTTGTCTTAGTTGTGCAAACATAGCAACTGTCTCTACCTGTTTTTTACAATACAGACCACGCTCAGCCAGGCCAGTTTTCTAAGACTGAAGTACCACCATATTGCCCATCTGAGCCTGGGAGAGCATCCTGGTGGAACTCCAGAAAACGTTCTGAAGTCTGTAAGCTTTTCTCTTTTTTTAATCTCTGAATCTGTGACTTTTGCATAGACAACTCCAGGCACCTGTCTGCTTCTGGAAAGCTATTGTTCCAGCAGACGTGCAAAGCAGAAGGGAAAGTCAGCTTTAGCTTTTGGCATTTAAATTTGCATTTTAAAGTTAGCAAGAAGATGAAAAAAAATTAATAGCCAGTCTACGCGAAGGGCGATAGAGGATTACAATTTCTTTCATCCGTCCCTCTGACATGTCATGGAGCAGCCTGTAGACCAGATCACAGTTATTTTTTAGTGTTTTAGAGGAGCCACTCTTGTTTGTGATGGTTTGAGATTTCCTGAGTGGGAACAAGGAAATATGATGTTCAGGAAGCAGAAAGCCTGATGTCTGGTCCTTTCAGTCTGAGGCACTGTGGAAAACAAACTGTGACGTAGGGAGAGCTAAAAGGGATTTAAATACCTAACACCCTGTTTGTCCCCCGTTCTGGCCGTGAGGCTTAGGGTTCTGACACCTGTACCTGTACAAAGTTTGCAAGCGTTCCAGAATGTCCGTATGTCCGAAAGCCGGTGGAAGACTCAGAGGTGCTCAGAGGTAGAGAACTGGCAGAAAGCAGACGAGGGTGCACGGTGCCCTGTGTATAGGAACTCTGCTGCCCGAGATGAGGCAGACCTACATGCTGTGGTTAGAGCTGGAAAGGAGCTCTCTAGACCAGCGAGAGGATCTCAGAACAGCTTGTGGAGACACCGTTCTGTCGGCCTCTTGCTATGTCACCTCAGACAGACCACCTACACCCATTTTAATCCTGAGAGAGGATCTGGGGTGGATGGAAAGAAGGAGAAAGCCAGTCTGAGTGTCCCAATGACTGAACTGCTTGAGGACCTAACAAACAGAACTAAGGAGGACAGTGGGTCCCCTGAAAGGCAGAGGCTCAGGGGAAGATCACAGCAACAAACACATATGGGTTCTGCCTTGCCTTCATCCATCTTAGTGAACAATGAATAATTTAGCAATCCTGTTTTGGGTGGTTTTGAGAAGAGCAGACTTGCAGAAGCTTATAATCGCCTGCTTATATGTGTTCCTTTTCTAATAAATAAAAGCTCTTCAATGAAAGGATGTTGAGGTCAACACTCCACTCTCTCCAAACCCCTCCTTCAGAAATCCTGCCAAGAAGTGGCTCCTTCCTCTGAGATGCTCAGAACCACATCTACAGAGTATTTTAAACACAACCACTAACTTGTCACATGATTTCTCTTCTGTCTCTCCCCCCGCCCCCTTGCAGAGTCACCCGGAAGTTGCTTTTGCTCTGTTTTTTAAACCTGGTTCTATTAATTTGGCTGGATTTGGCTTATTGCATCAGTGGAGAAATCCAAAACAGGGGATTTCAAAAATACTTATCAAAGGACTGTGTTTATGCCATGTGCCCTTGCTCACCCTGTCATGCTTCTGTATGTTCTTCAGGCTCTCCCTCTGGGTGTACTCATCTAAATGCATTTGGAAGGGGAGAGATTTCTGCACCCTGAGCAGCCCAGAGCTGCTGTCCTCACAGTTGACTCCAACAGAGGCCCTGCAGCTCAGAACAGAGCCCCACCCTGACCTGTCCACCATGCACTTATCCACCAGCTGCAACCCTAGAGTGTGTGTTGGAAGCTAGTGGTTTTAACTGAGTCACCATCCTAAGTAAGCGCCTTCGTGAACTGGAGAAACAGCAACAACAAAACTGGAAAGCAAGATGGGGAATGGGAGTGGTGAGCTCTGCCTTCCTTGTGCTGAAGGGCAGACCCAGAACAGTGGACGCCCCCTGCAGCGAGATATGTCTTTGTTCCGTTTCTTCATTTCCCTGTGAAGGACACCAAGGACAGAGAGACTCACTAATTTGGCCAGAGTTAGAGTGTTACTGGCCTGTGGACCAAGACTCTTGAGGTACCACAAACAAACAAAAACCATAAAAGAAAAAGGTAGCTCAGTGCTACAGCGCTCACCCTGATATGTGTGCCAGGCCCTGGCTTCAATTCCTGGTATTGTCAAACAACAGTAAATACACCATAAAGGTGTATACACCATAAAGGGTAGAGTTTGGTAGGTGTGTACCTGTAATCCCAGCACCTAGGAGGCAGAAGCAGGAGGATTTCCATGAGTTCAAAGCCAGTTTAGGCTATATAGTGAGTTCTAGCCCCGTCAGGCACACAAAGGGACACAAGTCTTGAAAGAAGCAGAAGAGGGGCTGGTTGGGAAGATGGAGGGGATTGTGGGAACGGAACAAAAGAGTATATGAGAATGAATATGAGGAAATAGGTTATGTATATTCATTATAAAACGTCACAAACCCATTATATATAAATAATGTAAAATTAAATTAGAGTCAAGAAAAAATAAGGAATACACGTCTACAAAAGTGTATCATTCTTTTTTTTTTTTTTTTAAACAATCCTAGGCTTAGGTTTCCCAGTGTCCTCACCTACTGGCCTCTTCCTGGTCTTTGGGCGTTGCTATAGGAAGGGAGAGAGCACAGTCAGAGGTTTCCAGTTGCCCTCAGTGGCAACATTACATCACTGGTGATTTTATATTTAACCCTCTCCCCTTCCTCCCCTTTATTCGCTTCCTGCCATTTTTTTTTTTTTTTTGAATCATATCACTCTCCTTCACCAAACTGTAAATGCTCTTTGGCAGTAGAGTGAAACAGAACAGAACAAAACAAAACAAAACCCAAGTCTTCCACAAAGGCTACCAAAACTGCTTTGTGGAAGGGAATGTCTTTGGCAAGAAATATATCTAGGGCTGGAGAGATGGCTCAGCGGTTAAGAGCACTGGCTGCTCTTCCAGAGGACCCAGCACCCACCTGGCAGCTTATACCTGTCTGTAACTCCAGTTCCAGGAGATCTGACACCCTCTCATAGACACCCTTGCAGGCAAAACACCATTGCACATAAAATGGGAGTAAATAAGTAGTTAAAAATGTTAAAAATAAATAAACAAACATGAATTTGAGAATGTAAAAGAGTAGAAAGAAAAGAAATGAAGCCGGGGAGAGGAAATACGAAGAGCAACAGCTGTGAGAACAGCTTGGGGTATTGGTTACCGCCTCCCCCATCCCCCTCCTGCCTTCTTTGAAACCTTCAGAAAAACTGATCCCTCTCACATTCTTAAAATTTATCCCACCCACTTTCTTTTTTTTTAATTTTTTTTTTTTTTTGCCAATTCTTAGAGAATGTTATACACTGTATCTTGATCATATGCACCCCAGCTCTCCCCTTAACTCCTCCCAGATCCATCCACACTGCATTTACATTCACGGTCTACGTGTTTGGAAGGCCTTGGGTTTTATTCCCAGCCCCCTTCCTTTCTCTTTTAACAACAAAATAGGCCCACAACAGTAACAAGTCAGCCAGTCATTTGACTAAGTCACACTAATGCAACAGAGAGAGAGAGAGAGAAAGAGAGAGAGAGAGAGAGAGAGGAGGATGTCTTGTTGACTCTGAAGATGCAATGGTTGGTTGTGAGGGTCACATGGCAAGGCACTATACCAACTCTAGGAATTGAGAACCATCAATATCCAGCAAAGGAGTGGGGACCCGGTTCTACACCCACAGGAATCTGTGGACTTGAAAGAGGAATCTGAACTCCAGCTAGGGGCACAGAGCAAAGGACAGGTTGTCACACATTGGAGAAGGAGACACAGAAGCAAAGGAAGTAAACAAAAGTGGACAGCTTCTCAAGCAAATTTCCATCATGGACAACTAGAGCTGAGGGCTGCAGCTGACGGCAAGAGGAGAGTCTCCCAGACTTCTGACCCTCCTACGGAAGTATCCCACCCAAACATTCTTTCCTCTCTCTCTCTCTCTCTCTCTCTCTCTCTCTCTCTCTCTCTCTCTCTCTCCCTGTGTGTGTGTGTGTGTGTGTGTGTGTATGTGTGTGTGTGTGTGTGTGTGTGTGGAGGCAGCTCTTGTTCACCTGATTCTGTCAAACACTTTACTTGCAGTTATTAATCCAATTCTCCCAGCACCCTCTTTAGATAGAGATTATAATAACCATTTTACAAACAAGACCTACACTTCCAAAAGGTTAGCAACTTGCTAAAATCATGTAGCTACTACAGACTTAGCCAAGGACTCCAGGTTGATGACCAGGAAAACTCAGGCCTTTCTTTATCCTAATGCCCCAGCCGTTTCAAGAAGTCCTGCTCCTCCAGTGTCCTTGAGTCTCAGCTTCAGTCCTACCTTTGACCACCAGCGTCTTTGACTGAGCTCAGGATGTGAGGTGGCCCTTTCTGCCCGTTTCTTGTGCCCCTCCCCACTACTGCCAAAGGTATTTGAGGGTTTGATTTGTAAGCCTGTGCGCAAACAATGCTGTAACTGCCGCTTTCTCCAGCTCAATGCAGTGTGATGGAGAGAGGCTGCAAGGCCAAGAGCGGTTAGGAGACTTTCAGAGCTGTGGAGCGTTGCCGGGGAAACAAGGAATTTGTGTGCAGCTTTGTTGTGAAGAGGCAGGGCTGGACCTGGCCGGCAACTTCAGAACAAGAGGCAGATTAACTAGCTCCCTCGCTGCACAACAAGTTTTTCTGAAGCTTGGACAGTGAGGAATGGCCCTCTCCAAGGACATATTTTTTCTCTTCCTTTTCTTTCTAAAGTTTCCTTAGGTGGCCTTTCTCTGAGTGGCTTCTGAGAAACATCAACTAGAAAGTGGAGAAGGAGTTAAAAGGCAGCCCTCACTTCACCCTGAACAGTGGTTTTGCTGCTTGGATATTTCTCTCGATATGACAAGACTCCCAGAGAAAAGGGCTTCTGTGGAGATAATGTATCTCCAAAAGTTGCAGGGTGTGATCCTGGGGTACCCAAGGGTCCTGGGTAAATTTTGAGAGGCTGAGAGGAGGTGCTCTCATTTCCCTCCTGGAAACTGAAAAATACATCAAAGCCTTTTGTGCTGAGAGTAAATATTTGATTTCTGAACAGAATTCTCACTCCCTCAGAAACCCAGAGGAACTCAGGCTTGAGGCTACAGTTGCTAAACGTGCCCTATTCAGCAGCTCTCCAGAGGGACAAAGGGAAGAAATTAATTGGCCTTAAAGAGTTGGAGAGAGCCAGTCAGCTTTTGCTGACCTACTTAAGATGTGAGGTCATTCTAGGGAGCATCTTCAGAGCTCTGCTCTTAAAAGGCATTGGTGTTGGCTCTAAACAGGCTGGGAAATCACAGGGAAGCCACAGATGATGCCCCTCTCCTCAAAAGCACCATTGTTTCCCTTCTCTGAGGTCCTCAGATGGTGTCAACCCACCAACAACATCCCAGGCAAGGATTTGTTCTCACCCGCCTCCCAAAGAGGGAGGCACAGGAATGAGAATCAGCTGGCCAGCATCCAATAATTGCCTACTGTGTGAAGAGAACTCTATGTCCTAAACATTAAGAATGGTGGACCATGGGTGGGGGGCACATTCAAAAGCAATAGCTGGCCTGGGGCTGGAGCTCAGTGGTAGAGCATGCGCTTAGCATGCACAAGGCCCTGGGATCAGTCCCAGCACCAAAAAAACAAAATAAGTAATAGCGCAATCACTATTTAGGAGTTTAAATCTAGTTGGGGAAGTTGCATCTAAACCTCTAGTGGGTATTAGGTTATTGGGAGTACATTTGAATTGCCCTTTTCAAATTATTTTGAAGTTATTTTTTTTTAAAATAGGATCTCCTTTAGTAAGTTTGGTCTCAAACTTACTATGCATGCAGCTGAAAAAAAAATCTTCAACTTCTTGATCCCCTGCCTCTACCTTCTGAAAGCTGGGATTATGGCTCTTTCCCATATTGTGGAGGCTGGGGATCAAACCCAGGACTTCATGTATGCGAGGCAAGCATCTAGTGATTGCCTTCAACTGGGTCCGGAAGTCAACAGTGAGTAAAAAGAGGACTTTTAGGGAGTGCTGGGATGGCTCAGCAGTTAAGAACACTTCCCATTACTACAGAGGAACTGAACTTGGTTCCCAGCACCCACACTGGGCTGCTCACAACTTCCTGTAATTTCAGTTCCAGGTGATTCAACACCTTCTTCTGATTTACACACGCACACACACACACACACACACACACACACACATTTTCTTTTTTTAAATTTCAAAACAAAAAGATGAAAAGAAGGAGAGCTCTGAGACAGTGGGAGAAGAAAGAAAAGATGGGTAATAGGACTGTAGCAAATAAAACTTAACTTCCACGCAAATAACAAACTGCCCCATAATGGGGTTTGGGATATGAAGGTGTTTGTTATACGGGGTCAAAGTAGAGAAAAAATAAGGAAGATCCACATCAAACTGGTAGGAGAGGTAGCTTCAAAAACAGTTCCAAATTTTTACCCATTGTGGCTACCCTTAAAGGGTTTGGTTTTGCTTCCCTTACAGATCCTTGCCACAACCAGGCTAGACTATCTGGAAACTAAGGAGTGTGACTTGTCAAGAACCTTTGCTTGCCTGGGTACAGTGGTGCACACCTTTAATCCCAGCACTGGGAGGCAGAGGCAGAGGCAGAGGCAGAGGCAGAGGCAGAGGCAGAGGCAGAGGCAGAGGCAGAGGCAGAGGCAGAGGCAGAGTTCTGAGTTCAAAACCAGCTTGGTCTACATAGTGAGTTTAAGGACACCTCGAGCTACATAATTAGACCTGTCTCAAAACCAAAAACAACAGCATAAGATCCTTTTTGGTCATCAATGATAGAGGTTCACATTGAACTATTAGCAGGAATAAAAGTGTGGGGGGTGATTTCTTGTGTTATTTAAATAGTCAGGGTGGAGGCAGGAAATAAAGTGGTCGAGCGCTATTATGGCAATCATCTGATATTGGTATCAGCGTCATTTATGAACCTTTCTTAGAATTTTTTGATGGGACCATAGTTGCTCTACAATGCCAACACCATTCACTATAACCTTCTGAAATCGTGGGAAGGCTCTGTACTGACAGTGTCAAGTATGGCAGAGGTTAGTGTTATGTCACTAATAGGGCTGAGAAAGCAAATGATAAATTTAATTCACTAATTTATGTTTTGAGTCAGAGTCTTGCTATATAGCTCAGGCTGGCCTTGAACTCACTGTGTAACTTAGGCTGGTTTCAAACTTAAGTTGTTTTCCTGCTTCAGCTTTCTGAGTGCTGGGATTACAGATATGCCCCATCTCAACGGACTTTAATTTTAATTCATTTAAATTTAGATAAATGGGACTGAAGAGAAGACTCAGTGGGTAAGAGCCCATACTGCTCTTCCAGAAGACCTGAATTCAGTTTCCAGCACCCATATGGGTGTCTTATAACTTCCGGTAACTCCAGCTCTGGAGGATCTGAAGCCTTCCCCTGGCTTCCACAGCCATCCACACACTTGTGGTGTAATACACATAGTTAGACACATGAATATGTAAATAAAAACAAACTTACATTTAGGTAGCCGTATGTTGCTAGTGGTTAGCACAAGGAACAATACAGCACTTATCCAGAGAAAAGTCTCTTTGTGGAACTGGAAAACAAACAGTCAGGCAATAGTAGTATATGCCTTTAATCCCAGCACTCGGGAGGGAGAGGCAGGCAGATCATTGAGTGTGAAGCCAGTTTTGATCTACAGAGTGAGTTCCAGGACAGCCAAGGCTACACAGAAAAGTCTTGTCTCAAGAAACCAAACCAAACCCAACAAAACAAAACAAAGCAAAAGACTAAAACAAAACAAAACCCAAACGACTATAACCTACCATCAAACCAAACCCTGTCCAAACACTGTGGTTAGCCTAGTTTTTGTCAGAGGCATTGTTCCAGATCAAACTCTGCAGCTAGGAGAATGGAAAATTATCCCAGGTTGAGCCATGTGCCTAATTCAGTGACAGGTGGGCACATAAGAAGAAATGCGGGAAGGGAAGCTTGACAGGAAAGTGAAAATCTTGATAAAAATAACATTACTAAATAATTATTTAAAAAGCTATTATATGGAGAGATAAAGGGTAAACTAGAATAAGAGTAAGTGGGGAGAGGGATGGAAGAGAAGAGTAAAGAAGAGAATATGAAGAGAGAAAACTTACACTTTGGAAAAACCTTTGGAAAAACCATATGGAAACTTACTTTAGTAGAAGCTTCCTAAAAATATACACATATATGAAAGGAATCTCAATGGAGTCACTATATAATATGGGAGACAATGCTACAACTAGACATCTTGTGTCAACAAGTAAAACCTCCAATACCAGGAATGGGCTACATCTTATTGAGTCATTGGCTACAGGGGTCCCACAGAACCCCAAAATATCACAGGCTATTGCCAAGGCTACTGGTTGCTCTCTACAACCTGATGGTTAGGCTTTATTGCTGAAGACAACATATACCTATGTCACTGAACATGGAGAAGTTGAGCTGGTGCCTACTAGAAGCTTCACTCTTACTGAATGTTCATGGTGCTAGAAGGCACTCTGAACACTACCAGAGGAGAAAGGTAAATATCTATATCACACAGCTAGAAACCTGGAGACCTACAACAGCTTTCTGCCTGCATGCTCCACTGGTGCAATAGTGGCACAAATGTTATGGAGTAACCAACCACTTTTTTTGTTTGTTTCTTTTTTTGCTTGAGACAAAGTTTCACTACATAGTCTTGGCTATGCTGGAGCTTGTTACTAGACCAGGGTGGCTTTATACTCACATAGATTTCTTTATTTCTGCCTCCCAAGTACTGGGATTAAAAGTGCGTGTACACATACCTAGCTTCAACCACTTTTTTTTTAAAAATAGAATTAAGGCCCACTGCATAAGATGGAGCCCAATATTAAATTGGCCACGAACCTGAAAGTTAGGTATGGGTCTAGGGGAAACCTAATACTGTTATTCTGCTAAAGGAACATGGCAATAAAATGACTCCTGAGACATGGTGCTATTTCCATGGAGCAGTGCCTCCTCAGAGAAGTTTCTTTGCGTAGTAGATGGGAGTTAACACAGAGGTCCACAACTGGACAATGTGCAGAGAGTGAGAGACTGAAACACTCAGTCCTAAACAAGATGTCTTTATCAGAACTCTCCCCTCAAAGCTCAGGAGTCTAGGTGGAAGAGAATGTGTGAAGATTAGAAGAGATTGGGGTGGGGACGACTCCAAGGAAACCGTGTCTTTTAGACAAAACAGGACTGACTTACATATCAACTCTGAGGGACTCTGGCAGCGCATACAAGACCGGCACAAGTTCAAGCCAGATGGGTTCCCAGAAGTGAGAGGGGATGTGGACATGGGGGTCCCACCTCTACTCAAGAAGCTATTTGCAATTGATACCCTCCGACAAAAGGATACACAGTTTTCTACAGTGAA